CCCCCACTTCCCCTCCCCACTCCTGCCACCACCCCTCACTTTTCCTCACACCCACCCCCGTCCCTTATGGGTGCCAGGCAGCTCCTGGGTAAAAAAAAACAAAAAACAAAACAAAAAAAAGAACAAGTGCCCACTTCCCCATTGCGTTCCCTTCCCCAGCGCTGGAGAGATCATCGGTTAACTTAACAGATTAGCAGTGAATCACTAAATCCAATTTAGCCTCGTGACGCCAAGACGGTGAAGTGGAGGGGAAAGCAGGAAATAAGCACTGCTTAGTGAACGTGGTCAAGTGGCACAGCACAGTTGTCCTTGGCAGGAATGTCTTGCAAGGCAGCGACACTGACATCTGACCTTGACAGGGCAAAGAGGATGAGAAAGAAACAAAACAAAAAAATGAAGACACATGGTGCAAGACAGCAGAAAAAAAAAACAACCTAGCAAACTTGCACATTAAGCCAATTTACTAATCCCGAAGCAGGCAAGTAGGGAATGAATCTGTGGGAGATGAAGAATAAACAAAAGAGCTCCGTTATACTCTGTAGACTTGTTGACTAGTGGTATGCCTGTATTCACACTAATGTGTGGTAACTGGAAGGAGGCCGGGGTGGGCAAATGCTGAGGTCAGAGGGCACGCCGGCACCGAGCGTGCTGAAGGACGACGGTTATGCCTCTGCCGGTTTTATCGTATCTTCGAGCTTTAAAGGTGACAATAAAAAGAGAAGAAGAGCGCTGGGAGAAAAACAGAGAAATGGAGAGAAGCATAAAGAGGGATCTTTTGAACAGGCACCAGGCCTCTCCAGGGGGAGGGGAAGAGCTGTGCCCACGACCCTCCCATCTGTTAAGCAGACGGATGGAGAGAGAGAGAGAGAGGGAGAGAGCCAGAGAGGGAGATATGAAGGTTGGGGGAGGATGGGAGAGATGGAGAGAGAGGAGCAATTCAGCACATAGATCTAATGAGCATTTTCTCTCTGTGTCTCAGAAGTGTAGCTGAGAGGACAATGAGAACATATACACTCAGTGCACCACAAGGCTTGATTCTAGGTCGCCTCTCCCAAGTGTTTAGTCACTAAAAACTAATATACAGCACATGGCACTTTTTCACATTCTAATAGACGTCTGTAGGGTGCTTGTTAATGTGGCTTTGTTATTGAGGACATACACTGAAGATGACTTCTTTGAATCAGGGGGCAACAAAAAACAGGAACTTTACTTTAACTCATGCTCAGGGCTAATTCATCATTTTGAAAGACAGTTTCAGTTTGTGTTTTTTTTTTCCCCTTTTTCTGTGAATGAGGTGGATGGACGTGGCAATAAATAAGGAGAAATGAACACACGATCCACTTCCAAGAACTAAAGTTGTGCACAACCATCTGTTGAGATTATTTCTGCATTCAGAGAATTTCTGTGGGAAACGTAAAAACAAAACTGGGGCAACTGTAAATGAACTGTGTGCACAAGTGCAATGCCAGTGTCCTCCGTCCCTCATGGGAAATGTGGTTGTGAGATTTTGAAATAACATCTTACACTGCAGTAAGTAAACCTTTTAGGAGGTGTATGGTACATTTAAATAAACGCTCTCGTTTTTAAATAAACTCCCATTTCCTGGAAGACGAGGATAGAAAAAAAAATGTTTTAATACCATTTTACACAAAACAATCTCAACGTCAGTACACACTCGCGGTGCTCGATTTGTACACGAGTTTTTCTGTTATGTAGGAAACTCTTTTTTTTGGCTCAGAAACTGTTTTCATTTTTTCAGTGTAGATTTTTCGGAGGTTTCTTTCTTGTGTTTTTGCTGCAGCTATGTGCATGTTTGCATGTTAAATGTGCACTTTGTGCATTTGTACTTTTGATTTGGAAATAGCAGCAGACAACACTTTATCTTCTGTAAGGCGAGAAGAAGGCATAACAGCAGCAGAAATGAGAGGCGGGGAAGAATCAAGCAAAGGAGCAAGTTGATGGCTAGGCAGGATGGAAAAAAAATGTGTATCAGGTCTCATTGTGCCTCTAATGTCATTACAGGCAGTGACTCCTCTATGTGGCACGCCACACTCCCCATCTGTCAGAGCAAGATAGGCAGGGTGACGAATGGCTATCACTGCCACCCCCCCTCCCTCCCTCCAGAGTCTGTATCTTTTTTTGAGTGAAGGGGGAGGCGAGTGACCTAAACCTGGGCGGTAGCCCACACGTAGGTGGGCCTCTATGGTTTTGAATCTCAGCAGATATTAGGGCTAATTTAACATGTTAGCAGCTAAAGAGATTAGCAACATGTACATCTGGGGATTAGAGTGATAGCGGTGGATCATCTTATAATGTGTTCATTCCTTTTTTTCTTCTTCTTTTTTTTTCCCAGTGAGCATTCGAGCTAAACTT